CGTGAAACATTCAGCGTCTTCCATTTTTCTGCCTTTTTTCTTTTTCCACATATCGTATCTAAGGATATAAGACACCGTCATTTGTATGCCACCGGCTTCGAGATGTAGGTTAATGATATATGAGCCATGGATCCTCGTTGTCACTTTTGCTCCGGCGACTGGCTATTGTGTGCAGGTGTTTCTTATTTTTCCTTTTTTTTTACGTCAACACGGAAAGTTACTCCGCAAAGGAACATTCTGCGCGCGCTCTTACATTGCAACCAAACGATCGCGCATTTTTGAACGTTTTAAACAGGGTATCTATTCCCCAGAAAAATATGGAAAACTTGGAATTTTTAGAAATTTCTTTTGTACCTGGAAAAATCAGAGAATTCTTATGGAATTTTAATGGGATTCAAAGAATCTTTTTTTTTTTAATTCTCTCTTTAAAAATTTTGCTCTTATATTGTAAGCAGTTGACAATGAATTTAAAAAGGTAGTTAAAAAAGAACGGAGACATTTTGCATTTAGAAATCGAAGCCGCAAATGTTTATATCATACTAAATATTATTATTTTTAATTTTTTATTAATCAAATTATCGTCTTTATTTTCTATTGGAATATCTAGAGTTTGATTATTATTTTATTATTGCGTCCGCGAAACACTACCTGTGTCCCCTAATTATGCCTCTATTATTATTATCGCAACGTTCTTTACGCAAATTAACGCGCGATATGGAAATTACTATATGGAAATTATTGCGAGTTTGTGTCCGACTGAACGGTTCGACATGTCCGAAGGCGAGTTCGGTAATCGAGTCTCTTCGTTCGTGACCTTACTCGCCGATGAAACTGCGAACCACCGTGCTGGCTGTGTGTGCGCACGGCCTTGTAATTGAATCCTTGATTGCTTTTTGTTTGAATTACACTCCGGCCGTCGTGTCCCCCCTGTTTGCACTTGGGACGGTACACACGCACACACTGACCTTAACCGAGGACGAGAGGATCCTTTGTGAATGAAACATCGAAGATTGCCGGGCTTCACCGGAACACGCGATTTTACGTCGAAAAACGTTCCTCGTCTCATATCGTTCGCAATTTCCTCGTAACCGTTTTTCCCGTAAACGTTTTTCCTCGCCAAATGTTTCACCGCAATTTCATGTACAGTTAGCATAAACACACAATTTTTCATCCTTGAAATAACATTTTATTATATAAGAGGAAAGAAAGCGGATATATCAAGGTATAAACGAACAACAAATCTTTCCTCGGAGTCCTTACATTTAGGGTTTCTTTCCGCACGTCGGCACCGGATCCTTGCCGCAGGTACCGACATTGCAATGGGGTGGTGCCATCACGCAGGGTCTATCATCGGGACAGGGCGGTGCGTCGTCGCAATTTTTTCCCGGTAGATGAATGTAGTCTTTGTCATCGTCTGCAGTAATTGCCGTCGAAAGTACGACAACGATGACCATTAGAGCGAGCATCTGCTTCATCTTTGATTAATTTCAGTCACCTGTTGACATGATATAGATATTATTACATAGAAAATAATAATAATATATGTAGAGGATTTTGCATATATGTGTACGCATTTCTCTCATACATTCTCGAATATTCCTTCGTAAATATTGACAAAGTAAGAGCGTATTCCTTGTGAAAATATAGGAAGAACGATGTATATTGATTATTTGAATGCAAGTTTACTTTAGGACAATATTTTTACAAGTTAAATGCAAGCGAAAACAAATCAAAATATATATAATGTGTACAATATATAAATTAAAAAATTTTAATATACATATACGGGAGTAAAATTAAATTATAGAAAAAAAAAACTTTAAATAACATATTAAAAATATATATATAAGAAAACTATATAAATATAAATTAAAAAAAAATATAAATTAAAAAATTCAGAAGTCATCAAGTTATTGATAAATGATGATAAAAAATATCTCCTTAAAAAAGCAAGACATTGTTGGCTTTTCATGACAAGCGATTTGACATTACCTGAACTTTTCGTGAGCAAAATCTGGGATTATAGATGCGTCAAGATCGATGCCACGCCGATAATATTTCAGAGACGAATGTTCGCATGCTCGAGCGTCCAACTGTTTTATACATCGCGACTTCCCCTTCGCTTCCTGTTCAGTAATTGCTCTGCAATGACGTGACCGAGAATTGTTATCGTCTCGTAATGTCCGATACGTGGCTGTGCGTGAGAAGGAAGCTCAGGCGAGTTATTTTTTGACGCGTTTTCCGCGTTTATGCGGATAAAAGAAACTCGATCGCTCACGAGAAGAGGAAGCGAAGAACATATTTTGATTCGCGTTGGTGATATGCGTCGTTTGCTTTTATTTTTAATGATCTCGAGAGATCTCACTCGAGATTCGCGGTACTAATCATTCAACATGTTACATCACTATGCAAATTAGTAAACCAATTTAGCGCTGATTCACGCGACGTACAAAGTATTCTGCGCACTATTTTAATGCATCAAGACTATTTCTGGTTTACATTACATTATCAAGACATTGTGAATGTTTTCTATTTATACTTATTTTTATTATTTATACTATATTATTTATACTACTTATATAATGAAAATTAAATTAACTTAATTAAATTGATCTACGCATATGTATATTTGAGAAATTTATTTTTACTAATTATTATTTATCAAGACGTGAATATATATATTTAGCGATAAAAGAATAAAAATGTGCAAGTGAGAAATATTTATGTTACGAAAGCTATTTAATTTTCTTCAGTACATTTACAAATCTAGTATCTGAAACTTAAGTGGCTCTGTTTTTCCTTCGTACAAGTGAGAAGCATAAGAAAAAGTATACAAGACAAAAACTTATTTTAGAAAGTTGCATTATAAGAAATCTTTAAAATATTTTGTTTATCACCGGAATTTTAAACAAAAATACCAGAAAAATCAGGACATTTTTTTTTATAAGATTTGGGTAGACACCCACAATAATGAAAGAATTTTTTCGCAATTAAAACATGGAAAATTCGAAGAATTGAAGGAACGGAGGAATTTCATTTCGCAGCTGCATGCGGCCGCGCTCTCCTCTCTGCGGTCCGAGGTGGCCGAGCTGAACTCGCGCCTGGTAGCGGCTACTCGCGCGCGGGAGGCAGCCGAGGCCGCGCTGATGCGGGCGGAGGTGCAGGCGGCCCGCGCTGATCAGCGGGCGGAACAGCAAGCGGCGCGGCACGAGGAGCGGCTCACCGAGTTGCATTCCGTCATCGCCGAGCTCGGCAGACAGCTGGAGCGGCATCGCGCCACCGTAATTGCCGAGGAGGACGAGTCCGGTAAGGTATCCGCAACGACGGACGACGAGACGATGCGCGTCGCGATTCCGCGTACCGATTTTCTTCTCCGGAGAGAGAGATAAAGAGACGAGCCTAGACGAGAGTGTCACGGCCAATTCTCCGGGAAACGCGGGGAGGCAATCAACGATCTCTTCTCGGTCTCCGGCAATAACGATAGTAATATTGTAACTCTCTCGCGATTCCCATTCCTTCTGTCGTTACCGAGAAGAAGAGCCGAGTCTCTCTCGGAGAGACTCGCATACCTCGCGTCGCGAGAAACGACTGTTCTTCTTCCCGGCGATTGCTTTCTTCCGATAAATAACTCACGAGCTGACGGAGTAGATGCGATCTCTTTGAATCGCGATTGCGGAGAACGTTTGCGCGAAATTCCAAACGTACTGATCGTTCGAAGCCGCGATCTGAGGCTCGTCTTTTAATGCGCAGAGGTCGAGACGAGCAGGGACGCCGAAGGTTCCATCACTAATCCGGTGGAGGAAAGCGAGGGCGGCGGAGACATCCAAGGAGACGGTGATCGTACCTTGGGGGATGCTGATTCCAGTTGCTGCGATGATGAGAATCGACCGGTCGAGGTGAAGAGAAGTTTCTGAAATAAAAATTAATTTCTCTCTGAATTATTGTACGGTCTCGTTGTGTTGCTAGATATCCAATATATATATATCCTACGCATATATTGATATTTTAAATTCTGATGCCAAGAGCTAATAAATTATACGATTTTACTTTTAACGTAGAATGGCAGGGAACAGCTGGACAGTCCAGCCGCGTTGCCGACTCCAGAACCGACGCAGCAAGCAATGTCTTGTCAGAGCGTCGCCGTCGCGACGCTGCAAGAAGAGACCATGGCATTACGAGCGGAGATCACGAGTTTGCAGGCGCAATTGGCTCATTTTAAGAATCAGACCGGTAATCAGAGGCAGACGACGGGCAGCGATTCGCCGCGTCGAGAACTTAGAGTTAGTTCAGAGCAATTTTTTACGTCAAACTATAGATCTAGTTTTATATATGGAAGAGATATATTTATTTCGTATATATTTTAATAAAAGAAATGAAAATTTTTAATAACAAGGATTAATATAATAAGATAAAAACACAAAAAAAATATTGATAGAAGTAGTTATAATTTCATGTTTATTGTCCCTGGTTTTAATTCTTTTACACTTTTATTATATATCGTCTCTTTCCTTCGTAGACAAGGGGTAACACCAGCTCGCCGGAGCCTTTGACGGCGCCATGCTCGCCGCTTTTACCACCACTACAGACACCTCCGACGAAGAGCGTAACGAGGGAAGAACCGCCGGTTCTCAAAATGGCAGAGAGGGTGAGATTGAGGAGAACGGACGAGAGGCACATTACCGGTCCGGACATCACTAATCTCGGAGTACGCGACATTTTAACTTGTAAAGAATATCGTTTATTTACTTTTTTGTTTGTTTCTCTTAACTTTACGATGCGCGATTATGCGCCGATATATTTCAGGTATGTTCCACCATGGTCGCCGAGCATCTCGTATCGGATCTCCTGGAGCAATCAAATCTACAGGAACTGAACGGTTCCGAGAAGCAGTTCGAGGTCGAGACGGAGCGATTGAACAGCAGGCTCGAGCACGCGCGGGCGAACAACGCGGTTCTCGCTCTCACGTTGCACGAGAGCAAGGCGCAATGCGACAGGTACGTTTTTCAAAATGACAGGAGCAATGTCACGTGCGTACCATATGGTGATCTTTTCTCGTTGCATTACAGGTTGAGCTTATTGGTCGGCAAGTATGAATCGAACGCGACGGCGTTGCGGCTCGCGCTTTCGTACAGCGATCGCGCTATCGAGGCCTACGACGTTCTCGTCGCTCTATTGGAAAGCGAGATCGGGCTCTCTACCGAGAGGAGCAACGTGACAATCGATAATAGAAGGGCGGCCGAGAACGTTGCGTATCATGTCTTGAATAGACTCGAGAACGACTGTACTAATACATTGGGTGCTCCGTGGGAAGACAGCATGGTCTTATCGGACGAGTGCGTATTACTTTATATCGCACACAGCGTGTATGTATGATGTATAAATTTTTTTCTTGACGATAGTTCGGAAGTAATGTGGAACGTAGAAGACGAGCAACGACTCAGGAGGCACATTAGTAGATTGAAGGGAGAACGTACGATGGTGAGATCCACGGCGGTCGAACTGGAAAGTGTACACGCGGAACCTTTGAACACGAAGAACACCATCTCTCTGGCGGAAGCCAGGAAACTCGATTTGGAAACTGCCGTACTTATGCAGGTCGATATCTATGATTGAAGAGAATTTTAGAAAAAAGTTTATAAAATTTTAAAATATATAAAGATTATAAAAAAATATAAAATTTAGATTAAAACTCATCGAAACTTTCGAATATTTTATTTTACAAGAATTTAATGATTATTCAGGAACTCATGGCCATGCGAGAAGATAAGGCTGAGTTGCGCGCCAGGGTATTTCTTCTGGAGAAGGAACGCGCCACCATAGAATTGAAGTTAAACGCACGGGACACGCAGATCGCGGCCCAACACGCTACCATACAGCATCTCCAGAGCCAATTGAGCGATGCGGAAGCTATGCTCGCAATGGCAACGAACAAGGTATCGTGTATTGTTTTTTTTTTTTTTTTTTTTTTTTTTTAAATCTCCCGTATCTTCTTGCGCTAATTAACTGAAAACGCATGTAGGATCGCGGTTTGAGCAACAATGAGAGCGAGGGGATGGAGTCTGAGCTAATCGAAGCACTAGGCAGAGAAGCGAGGCTGAAAGAACGTCTGCAGGAATTGATCTCGACCTTGGACGAAGTCAATAAGAATTCCGAACTCAGGCATCAGCAATCCGCCGAACTTGTCAACGATTTGAAAAGAGCTAACGGGTAAGTCATTATGCAATATTCACTTATGGAATGTTTTCTACGCACTTGTAATAAAAATAGAATTTTCTCTGCCCTTTTTTTAGTGCATTAGTTCAAACTCTGGAAAAGTCCAAGAAGAAATATCAATCTAGACTGAAAAAGTTGGAGCAACAAATGCTGGGAATGGTAGAGAGGCATGCTGCGCAGGTATGATTAATTATAGGTGAAGTATCTGCTTTCATCACTCGATATTCATAAGAACAATTATTTATTATACACTAGTACATTCTTCTGATATTATTTCTTCTGTAGCTTCTTCCGTCTCTCCTTTAACTCTTGTTCGACGAGATCTTCCAGATCGCCGAGCGGTTTGTAGATTTGATGAACACACTGTGCGCCGGCTAGCATTGTAACCAATGTTGTTGTACAGAACATGATATAGCGTGGCCAGGACAACCCAGCTGGCATTATACGTCAAAGTCCCAGTAGAAAATTTGTGTAAATTTAGGCCTCCTGCTGTAGTCTCTCCTCCACTAATTCGTTTATTCTTCGACGTTTATACGTCTTGTAAAAGTTAACCTCTCCCACATGCCAGTTGATCATAGAGTATTCCAAGGCCGCTCCCAAGAAGAAAAATATCGGCAGAAATCGATACTCACGGAATATTCGTTTTCCCGGCCACTTCTCAAATAGTTTCCTCAACCTTACAATATAAAATTGCATTAAAAATATTTAAACACAGCTCTTCGAGTTATGCAACTATCTTGCTAGTCGACTATCGGCTGCCACCATATTGGATTATTTCTGATGCGCACGCGTGTACATATATACATTAAATATAGTAAACTCATACACACATGCATACAATATATGCTGAGAATTATATATAAAACAGAGTTTATAGCTATATAAGGAAATATACATTTCTTTTATATATAAATTTGTGTACTGAATGTATTAATTTAATTTTCTGTCATATCTTTAGGTGAAAACGTTGAAGCAACGAATAGCTTTATTAGAGGACGAATCGATGGGTTATAAAGGAAGCATAGCACTGCAGTCTCAAAGCTCTGGTGCTAGCGAGACATCGTTATGACAGTCGAGTGACTGAATGATAGAAGACGAGGCACAGTGCATAAGTTCAACGATTCAAGAATTACTGCTAACGTCTTTCTTGTCGTTACGAGAAGACAAGATTACGCGAAACGAAGATTGAACCCATGTATTTTTTTATACCGAATAATCGGCCGAAAGTAAAAATGCTTAGCTATTCGCTTTGTAATTATCACGATATATTGACGCTGTCCTAACGAGAATAAAAGAAAAAGAAAAAAAAAAAAACTCAGCTAGGCCTACGCAATGTGTGCAATGTGTCGATACACGAACGCAAGTAGCCTATTTAAAACGGAGCATTCAGCACATAAATTATAAATAATTGTTAATTAGTAAAGTGTATCGATTTCAACAGTGATAATCGTGTACATATGTATATTGTAAAAGCGTAAACAAAGTGTGATACGTGTAAACAACAATGTAATAAATTGTGCTTTATTATCAAAGTCTTCATGACGCGTTTATAAATACTGAATGCGAATCGATTATTAATGTATCTATATGTTGTCTCATTTTTTTTTTTTTACTTAATAATTATATACAATTTAAATTATGCTAAGTCTCCTGATTCTCTTGCTGCTGCATCTGTAATGCCATAGCCTCTGTGGCGCTTTTCTCCGGCACATCGGGCCCTTCCTCCGCTGGTACATCATTGATTTCCACAGCTTCTTTGTTCATCATTATTTTCTGTATTTCCTCTTCCAAGTGCACGCAAGCCTGCTCAATCTCGTAATTTTTGGACACCAAACCAACCCACTGTGCTTCAAGGGCTCTCAGTTTATCACCTCCTTGAGTCTGCATCGACTTCCTTTGCCAATTTACCTCTTGAATCATTTTCCTCAGCGTCTGCATTTGCTTTTGAGCCTGACCCACCAACTGAACCAACACTTCCAGATAAGATTTCCACGCTTCGCACCCATAGCCCATCATTAATTCTAAATTACAGATTCTGGAATTGTGCAAATGGATGTAACGAATAATACAAGAGACTGTGTAACGAGCCAATAAAATCATTGTCTACCTAGTGGCCTGATGTTCCAGCTGTGCGCTACTGTTTTCTACACTCTCGTTCCATGCTGCTAAATCGTTGAGTTTGCCGGACGGAGGCGGTGGCAACTCGTAACGTTTCATACTAAGAACTTCCATCGGCAAGCGATTCTGCATCCTCTCGAACTCATGCTTCATTACCTCCGTTTCGAAGGCGGTTATATTCAAAAGCTGCAAGTGTTCCAGATAATTCTTCGTCGGCCTGTAACGACGTGTCTCTTCCTCAACCATCGCCAGTGCCTGGAACACGTTGGATTTCAGATATTTTATAAAGAAAAAAATACGCGAATTTTTAACAAGATGACACCTTCAAGATATATAACCTCCAATTACGCTGCTTAGTTTATTCAATTGTAATAAAAAGAGAACACATGATTTATTATTTACCGCTTCTCGCACGCCAGGTTCATCGTATCCCTGATCGATATAAGGTAGGGCGTCGACGATCACTTCCCCAGCCATAATAAATTAAAATAAAATTACGCGAAAATATTTTTTACAAATAAATAAATATTTGTAAACACATTTCGGATCTCGGTCAGATGTTACGTCAATGAATATAAAATATATAGAAAGGAAACAAACCACAAGAAACACGAATAAATCTGACAAGTGGCTAGGGAATTTTTTCGCGTGTTACAAATACTTCGAAGCGTTTGATTGGCCAATTGGGACAAAGAAATTTTTGTCCATAACAAAGCACCGTAGATACACAGTAGACGATAGATCTGTGAAATGCAGAGTTTATGGAATGGAGAGCGTCCAACAACGTCATAGTGTTTATCGAACATATCGTGATACATTATTTGTGGAAATTTCATACGTTTTTAATAATTGAATTATATAGAGGAAGGTTGAAAAAGATTAATTAAAATTTGCAGAGGAAAGAATTTGAAGAATTTCGTATAAAGATTTAGTTACAAAAATCTCAGAAACGCCATTTTATTCTCGAAACATTAGTGAATAACTCTCGTGTGAATTTCCGCGTTTTTTATTCGGAATGTGTGGACCTGCACATTTTTTTCATCTAAATGATTTAATTTCTTTTACCGATATGATTGTTAAAGAAATTTAAGCTTCTGTCAGTCAGATTATCTTCAGTGATTATTCTTTTGTAACAATACATACTTGTCAGGTTTGTTGATAAATTTAAACAAGTTTTGCTGCTTCTTAATCTCAATTATTTCAATACTTATTTTAATAATTTACGTAAATATAGTTTTATTTTTTGAGATATGTATAATGCTATTTCATAAAAAAGAGGAAAAAAATATTCTTAAATATATGTGAAATTACCATTATTAAATTAAAAAATTGCTTTCAGTGCAATCAGGACAAGAATTTTAGAGCTTAATCATGGCTATGCACACCGTTCCACCAAAACGCAAAGAAATCTACAAGTATGAGGCCCCTTGGCCATTGTACAGTATGAACTGGTCAGTGAGACCTGACAAAAGATTTCGTTTAGCACTGGGAAGTTTTGTAGAAGAATATAACAATAAAGTACAAATTGTTTCACTGGATGAAGAAACATCTGAATTTAGTGCTAAAAGTACATTTGATCATCCTTATCCAACTACAAAAATTATGTGGATACCCGACAGCAAAGGTACTTACACATTTACTTTAATTTGTAATCTTTTTTGGATTCTACCAATAATCCAATAAGTATTTGTTAGGTCTATTTCCGGATCTTCTCGCCACATCCGGTGATTATCTAAGAGTGTGGCGTGCCGCAGAGCCAGAGACTCGTTTGGAATGTGTTCTGAATAACAATAAGAATTCGGATTTCTGTGCACCGCTTACATCCTTCGATTGGAACGAAGTGGATCCGAATCTAATAGGCACTTCGAGTATAGACACAACCTGCACTATTTGGGGATTGGAGACAGGACAGGTATTAGGCAGAGTGAACATGGTCACGGGTCACGTGAAAACGCAACTGATTGCGCACGACAAGGAAGTATACGACATCGCATTTAGTCGTGCTGGAGGCGGTCGCGACATGTTCGCATCTGTCGGCGCCGACGGATCCGTGCGGATGTTCGATCTACGACACTTGGAGCACTCGACGATAATTTACGAGGACCCGCAACACACTCCGCTATTGCGACTAGCATGGAACAAGCAGGATCCCAACTATCTTGCTACTGTAGCGATGGATGCGTGCGAGGTTATCATTTTGGACGTTCGTGTGCCGTGCACGCCAGTCGCGAGATTGAGTAATCACAGGTCAATATAAAACGATATAATATTAATTATCTCGTCCATTCATGATTGTTATTTATATACATAATACAGAGATATATTTTTATTTGTTTGATTGATTTCAGTAAAAATTTCTTTGACTAATCGTCTTTTTCTTTTTTTGTTACAGAGCTAGCGTTAATGGTATAGCTTGGGCCCCACATTCATCCTGTCACATTTGCACAGCTGGTGATGATAATCAGGCCCTGATTTGGGATATACAGCAAATGCCAAGAGCGATAGAAGATCCCATACTCGCTTACACTGCTGCAGAAGGTGAAGTTAATCAGATTCAGTGGGGCGCCACGCAGCCCGATTGGATAGCCATTTGTTACAATAAAGCGGCAGAAATCCTTCGAGTTTAAATTGAAAATCTACATTTATTTTTAATTTTGATTCAAACACGCAAGTGATACTAAATTAATTTTTTTTATTAATATAAGGTATATATATCCTACTGAGCAAAGAATAGCTATAAATAGCAACATTTCAATTCTTGCATTTTATAACTGTATATATAGAAATATTACATACTTGATAACAATAGAAATATCGATTTAAAGTTCTGGATACATAAATTGTATCAGTACATAATTATTTAATCATTAATCACTTTAAAATGTTTTTTTAAAGTTTTTTAAAATAGACATTAATACAATTTTAATAGTATAACAATACAATGGTTAATTGTTATTACAATAACAGTATATGCAACCGTGTAGCGTATCATGGTTGTAGCATTAGTTCCCCGATTGTGATCATGTTATTGTGATTATCCACAATTTTTAGTATGTAATGTACAGATTTTTATATAGATGTAAATTTTTGATATATGAAGATGTATATTAATAACGCTCTCGATTTTACGAATACACTATGTATTCAATATCATCATTGATATAGATACCAAATTAACAAGTTAATTTATAAAAAGTTCATTACGTAACAATATTCATTTACAATTTCAAATATATTATGCAGAGATTACTGAATCATGTATCAAATTGACACACATTTATATGGAAAGGTATATTAATAATATGTATATATATGGACATATTCCATATATATTTATATATACAATATGGATTTTTTTCTCCTTAGATATTTATAAGTTGTACAGCGATCATTTATGAAAATTGAGAGATGAGTTATAAGAACAATTAATTTTCAGATAGTAATTTTCACTATACTGTAAATGAGAAAAGAAAATAAAGTTGGAGTTTTCAAAATTTCAAATTTGAAATTTTTATTTGTATTACCTCTCTTGCCTATCATGTTTCCGATATCTAAAAATTTAAATTTATATAAATATCGGCGGAAGGCCAAAGGTTGACCTGCAGGGAGAGTTTTTTAGCGGGTGTGAGTCCCGCATACTCCACCGGACCGGCCGGTGGGAATGCATAATGCATTTTTCTCTTCCTTCGTAAAAAAAAAAAAAAAAAAAAACTTGTACCTTTACGGATTCTGAAGGTTTTTCATTCGAATTTTCATGCTCTTTGAAATTTTACCATGTGCCACCTCTTTACTGATTATGTTCTCCTGATACTTGTGCGGATTTCGAAGCTTTAAATTTCCGCTTTCTGTAAGTTAACATCGTGCGAACTCTTTGCTTATCATGTTCTCCTGATACTTGCGCGAATTTCGAAGCTTTAAATTTTCCGCTTTCTGTAATTTAACATCGTGCGAACTCTTCGCTTATCATGTTCTCCTGATACTTGCGCGAATTTCGAAGCTTTAAATTTTCCGCTTTCTGTAATTTAACATCGTGCGAACTCTTCGCTTATCATGTTCTCCTGATACTTGCGCGAATTTCGAAGCTTTAAATTTTCCGCTTTCTGTAATTTAACATCGTGCGAACTCTTCGCTTATCATGTTCTCCTGATACTTGCGCGAATTTCGAAGCTTTAAATTTTCCGCTTTCTGTAATTTAACATCGTGCGAACTCTTCGCTTATCATGTTCTCCTGATACTTGCGCGAATTTCGAAGCTTTAAATTTTCCGCTTTCTGTAATTTAACATCGTGCGAACTCTTCGCTTATCATGTTCTCCTGATACTTGCGCGAATTTCGAAGCTTTAAATTTTCCGCTTTCTGTAATTTAACATCGTGCGAACTCTTCGCTTATCATGTTCTCCTGATACTTGCGCGAATTTCGAAGCTTTAAATTTTCCGCTTTCTGTAATTTAACATCGTGCGAACTCTTCGCTTATCATGTTCTCCTGATACTTGCGCGAATTTCGAAGCTTTAAATTTTCCGCTTTCTGTAATTTAACATCGTGCGAACTCTTCGCTTATCATGTTCTCCTGATACTTGCGCGAATTTCGAAGCTTTAAATTTTCCGCTTTCTGTAATTTAACATCGTGCGAACTCTTCGCTTATCATGTTCTCCTGATACTTGCGCGAATTTCGAAGCTTTAAATTTTCCGCTTTCTGTAATTTAACATCGTGCGAACTCTTCGCTTATCATGTTCTCCTGATACTTGCGCGAATTTCGAAGCTTTAAATTTTCCGCTTTCTGTAATTTAACATCGTGCGAACTCTTCGCTTATCATGTTCTCCTGATACTTGCGCGAATTTCGAAGCTTTAAATTTTCCGCTTTCTGTAATTTAACATCGTGCGAACTCTTCGCTTATCATGTTCTCCTGATACTTGCGCGAATTTCGAAGCTTTAAATTTTCCGCTTTCTGTAATTTAACATCGTGCGAACTCTTCGCTTATCATGTTCTCCTGATACTTGCGCGAATTTCGAAGCTTTAAATTTTCCGCTTTCTGTAATTTAACATCGTGCGAACTCTTCGCTTATCATGTTCTCCTGATACTTGCGCGAATTTCGAAGCTTTAAATTTTCCGCTTTCTGTAATTTAACATCGTGCGAACTCTTCGCTTATCATGTTCTCCTGATACTTGCGCGAATTTCGAAGCTTTAAATTTTCCGCTTTCTGTAATTTAACATCGTGCGAACTCTTCGCTTATCATGTTCTCCTGATACTTGCGCGAATTTCGAAGCTTTAAATTTTCCGCTTTCTGTAATTTAACATCGTGCGAACTCTTCGCTTATCATGTTCTCCTGATACTTGCGCGAATTTCGAAGCTTTAAATTTTCCGCTTTCTGTAATTTAACATCGTGCGAACTCTTCGCTTATCATGTTCTCCTGATACTTGCGCGAATTTCGAAGCTTTAAATTTTCCGCTTTCTGTAATTTAACATCGTGCGAACTCTTCGCTTATCATGTTCTCCTGATACTTGCGCGAATTTCGAAGCTTTAAATTTTCCGCTTTCTGTAATTTAACATCGTGCGAACTCTTCGCTTATCATGTTCTCCTGATACTTGCGCGAATTTCGAAGCTTTAAATTTTCCGCTTTCTGTAATTTAACATCGTGCGAACTCTTCGCTTATCATGTTCTCCTGATACTTGCGCGAATTTCGAAGCTTTAAATTTTCCGCTTTCTGTAATTTAACATCGTGCGAACTCTTCGCTTATCATGTTCTCCTGATACTTGCGCGAATTTCGAAGCTTTAAATTTTCCGCTTTCTGTAATTTAACATCGTGCGAACTCTTCGCTTATCATGTTCTCCTGATACTTGCGCGAATTTCGAAGCTTTAAATTTTCCGCTTTCTGTAATTTAACATCGTGCGAACTCTTCGCTTATCATGTTCTCCTGATACTTGCGCGAATTTCGAAGCTTTAAATTTTCCGCTTTCTGTAATTTAACATCGTGCGAACTCTTCGCTTATCATGTTCTCCTGATACTTGCGCGAATTTCGAAGCTTTAAATTTTCCGCTTTCTGTAATTTAACATCGTGCGAACTCTTCGCTTATCATGTTCTCCTGATACTTGCGCGAATTTCGAAGCTTTAAATTTTCCGCTTTCTGTAATTTAACATCGTGCGAACTCTTCGCTTATCATGTTCTCCTGATACTTGCGCGAATTTCGAAGCTTTAAATTTTCCGCTTTCTGTAATTTAACATCGTGCGAACTCTTCGCTTATCATGTTCTCCTGATACTTGCGCGAATTTCGAAGCTTTAAATTTTCCGCTTTCTGTAATTTAACATCGTGCGAACTCTTCGCTTATCATGTTCTCCTGATACTTGCGCGAATTTCGAAGCTTTAAATTTTCCGCTTTCTGTAATTTAACATCGTGCGAACTCTTCGCTTATCATGTTCTCCTGATACTTGCGCGAATTTCGAAGCTTTAAATTTTCCGCTTTCTGTAATTTAACATCGTGCGAACTCTTCGCTTATCATGTTCTCCTGATACTTGCGCGAATTTCGAAGCTTTAAATTTTCCGCTTTCTGTAATTTAACATCGTGCGAACTCTTCGCTTATCATGTTCTCCTGATACTTGCGCGAATTTCGAAGCTTTAAATTTTCCGCTTTCTGTAATTTAACATCGTGCGAACTCTTCGCTTATCAGAATTTTCGATTGCGCCGCGCCATATTCTTGCTGATTATGTTCTCCTGATACTTGCGAATTTTGAAGCTTCAAATTTTTGCGCTTTTTAAAATTTTTGTGCCACCTAACCTACTTCCTTGCTGATTATGTTCTCCTGATACTTTTGCGAATTTCGAAACTTCAAATTTTTGCGCTTTTTAGAATTTTCGATTTGTGCCACCTACCTCCTTGCTGATTATGTTCTCCTGATACTTTTGCGAATGTCGAAACTTCAAATTTTTGCGCTTTTCAGAATTTTCGATTTGTGCCACCTACCTCCTTGCTGATTATGTTCTCCTGATACTTGCGAATTTTGAAGCTTCAAATTTTTGCGCTTTTTAAAATTTTGAGTTGCGCTACCTCCTTGCTGATTATGTTCTCCTGATACTTTTGCGAATGTCGAAACTTCAAATTTTTGCGCTTTTCAGAATTTTCGATTTGTGCCACCTACCTCCTTGCTGATTATGTTCTCCTGATACTTGCGAATTTTGAAACTTCAAATTTTTGCGCTTTTTAGAATTTTTGATTTGTGCCACCTACCTACTTGCTGATTATGTTCTCCTGATACTTGCGAATTTTGAAACTTCAAATTTTTGCGCTTATTAAAATTTTCGATTTGTGCCACCTACTTCCTTGCTGATTATGTTCACCTGATACTTTCGCGAATTTCGAAACTTCAAATTTTTGCGCTTTTTAAAATTTTGAGTTGCGCCATATTCTTGCTGATTATGTTCTCCTGATACTTGCGAATTTTGAAGCTTCAAATTTTTGCGCTTTTTAAAATTTTTGATTTGTGCCACCTACTTCCTTGCTGATTATGTTCTCCTGATACTTGCGAATTTTGAAGCTTCAAATTTTTGCGCTTTTTAAAATTTTCGATTTGTGCCATCTACCGCCTTGCTGATTATGTTCTCCTGATACTTGCGAATTTTGAAGCTTCAAATTTTTGCGCTTTTTAAAATTTTCGATTTGTGCCATCTACCGCCTTGCTGATTATGTTCTCCTGATACTTGCGAATTTTGAAACTTCAAATTTTTGCGCTTTTTAAAATTTTCGATTTGTGCCATCTACCTCCTTGCTGATTATGTTCTCCTGATACTTTTGCGAATTTCGAAACTTCAAATTTTTGCGCTTTTTAAAATTTCGATTTGTGCCACCTCTTTGCTGATTATATCCTCTTGATACTTTTGCGAATTCCGAAACTTCAATTTTTCGCAGATCTTTGAATTTTAATTCATGCCACCTCTTTGCTGATTATATTTTTCTGATACTTGAGTTAAAGAAACGCAGTTTCAGAAATTCCAAGAACGAAAAATAGGCAACAAAGTATTACAAAAATATATAATTAACAAAGAGGTATGTGTGACACAAGATGGGAATGGATGGGTAGGTTGATTCAGAAGACGTATGTGTTTTGTATTAATAATACAGTTTATTAGATTTTTAAAAATTACAAAATATATTTTACAAAGTATTATCGAGATTCTCTTATATATATGCAACATTGTACATAACTCTTTTCCATTTTACGTTTTATCATCAAACAATAAAATAAAATTATTATGGAAACAAAAATAGTATTAGAAACTCTTAGAAAATACATTGACCTCTATTGGATATCGCAATATATGTAAAATAAAGACAATCTCATTACGTAATGTGCATTAAACACTAAATAGGATCAAATTATAAGCCTAATATGGATGTAACAGATGCCAATTTACTAGCAATTTCTGATATGAATAAATCTGTTGCCAATCTGTTGGCATATTCCGCGCATTTTGCTTACTGGGATTAATAAGAATAAAATACTTTTTTTTACAAAAACAGCATGCATGTTTTATTATATGAAGTATGATTTACAAATGTCAAACGAGGAAAATGTAATTATTTACAATAATGAGCTCTGTATACGAGTCTACAATTCGGTTAATTATATAAAATTTTAATCTAGACTGACATTACTGCGCGCGCGCGTGTGTGTGTGTGTATGCATGATTTTTTTAGTATACTTTCTCTCTTGCTAGTTTAATAAATATCATTAACTCTGATACAGAGTAAATATATATTTATCGCCTCCAATGTAGTATATATAAGCAAGGATCTTTTTATATTCATGAAACTATTCGAAAGCAAAAATATTCTTAAAAATTTCGTATTCTTAAAGCATTATCAAGAAAACTACGATATCTTCTCAATCGTAGATAGAATACTTTTATCTAGTTGTATTAATACACTTTTGTAATATAACGCAAGAACTTAATTATTTTCTCACATCGTCGATATAAGAAAAAAGAAATACGCTTTGGCAAGAATCTATGCCTTAAGAGATTTGAATGTATGTATAACAATATTTTTACATACGTCTATCCTAAGTCAAGTAAATTTCTAAATTTTCGTTTGAAATATTATTTATATGAAAGTATCAACTTTTCTTTTTAATGTCGACAAATAAATTACATCCATTCAGTCTCGAGACACTCTCACAAGTTACACATGCACGCGTTTCGCACTACTTTCAGCAATAATTTACACAGCATTACCAACGAATTGTAGCCAGATCATATATTTATGAGAAATGTTAAAATTCATTTTTATTCTCTTGTCTTGGTTTAGTTTCCTCTCAAATCAACAACATGCGTGACTTATGTCGTGCAAATAACAATTGTTGTATGCGATCTTTTCGCTGAATGCTTATTCTATTTCAATATAGAATAAACTCAGACTAACAGAATACAATACTAGAATACTAAAGTTCTAAGTCTTCGAGGCGAAATTGACATACTCTTACAGAACACATAATTTACTCGCAATATAATATAGATGAAGCACCGTAAACGCCATGGTGAGCATGTTTCCCATGGCGACGGTCACGTGCACCCGGCGGAATGCCTGATGGATCTTCAAGTAGTGCGGGCAGTTTTTTAACGGCCCGGCGTTGTGGCCGCCGATCTCGTTCCCGACACCCGCCGCGCGTTCCAAGTTGTTTTTCTGCACAATCAGCTGGAGCAGCGGAGGTGTTAGATAGAGACGTATCAGCAGTTCCAGAAAAAAGGCCCCGGACATCGCACCGACCTACGCATATCACAAATTTCACTTCTTTTTATTTTTCTCTTTAATTTTATTGCATTTAAAGATAAATAGAAAAATTAAATTAAGAAAAAGTTAAATTCGCAAAGTTATTTCTATTGAGGAAAAGAATGTTATGTATATAAAAGTTAAGTTTGTCTTTAAATTTTTCAGGATATCTTCTACGCACCTGAATAGCAATTTCGACGTCCCACATGTACGCCGGATGGTGTTTGACGAATATGAGGAGCGTGGTGAGACTCAAGCACGCGTTAATCGTAAAGTATCTCGGAAACAGCACGCGCTGCACCTCACCGAACGCATGTCGTGGCAATGCAAAGTATAAGGATAGACCTGCAAATAAATCATCATATGAAAGCAATCAATTATAAAAACTTATACAAGAAAAGAAAGAAGAATTTTTTTTTATTTTATTTTTACTCTGAAAAGAGAGAAAAATCTCTCTATTCTTAATACAATACAGATATTTTAATATTTCTTAATTACCTGATACGAAGGTCATCCAAATTTGCGCACCAAAATGTATGACAAAGGATGTGAGATAGATGAAGGAGGCCGCTGTGGAGTAAGAATGGCCAGAAACCTGCGCCCTTTCCTTCGTTGGAACGAGGACCGATGCAACAAACAAGACCGCCACAATCATGATTATGTGAGTGGGTTGTGTCGTGTGAAAGAAGATCCTGCAAAAAAAGATATAATTATGAATTTAATATTTCGGTTCCTCTCGATTGTGAGAATTTTAATTAAAGAAAACACTCTGCTTCGGATCAATCAGAATTTCATCAACAATTTGTAAAAAAAAAAAAAAATTTAACTTTTTACGTAAGAATATAAACATAATTTTCGGCGTTCTCAGATACTATGCATATAGTTCACATTCGATCAAATTTCAGATTAAAAATTACTTAACAAAAAATTATGCTACTTTTAACACGCTTGGAATAAAAGGCTTGGAAATCAATGAAATATCATACATAATCTCAATCAGAATCATGCTCGTTCGAAAAATGGTCTGATTAGATCTTTTTCCTTTTTTTCAACATTCTTATCATCGTAAGGAAGTTTACATTGATGATCCAACTTGACGCAATTTGCGAGATATAATCTCGCTATACTCTCGACATTTGTGCAATTAGATAATTCACCAAGTATCTTGAACTATATGATTATTTAACACACGATGCGCAGGCATGCGAGTTGCGACGACGAAAAATTTCGTCACGCATATCTTCGTTAGATAATTCGCAGCGCATCTCATTTGATGCATGCGTTGACGTGACGTCAAAGTCAATTAAATCTGCCGAGATTGAAGGCGTCTGAGAATGCGTTCTGCTATCAAGTGTTAGCGCTTATATAAATTTGTCTGCTCAATTCTAAATTGAGTTCAAGGATACATAGAACACAACTTTTGCTTTCCAATATATAACATATATATATATATATATTAATGATTTCTTGCCAGCGTGAGGGCAATTTGTATATCCCTTTTTCGAAAAATGTTTTATCTTTTGATGCGAAAAATTGAACCAGTGCTTGTTTGATATCTTCTTCATTTTTGAATTTTTTGCCCCTCAAAAAATTTTGTAAGGACAAAAACAAGTGATAGTCGGAGGGTGCTAAGTCCGGGGAATATGGTGGATGCGACAGAATTTTCCAGCCTAGTTCTGCAATTTTTTGACGAGTATCCAAAGCAGCATGTGGCCTGGCATTATCATGATGCGGTATGATGTTCTTCCTATTGAACATCGGCGGCCTCTTTTCTTGGACTGCTGTATTTAAATTATCCAGTTGCTGACAATACTTCTCCGAATAATGGCAATTACATTATTTAATAAAGTTTATTGACGGTAATAAAAATTTGTATTTTGTTTTATTCCAAAAACGGACAGAACTTTCCGGTAGACCTGATATTAATTCGTTATAATTATTATATTTATTTTCGCATCGCAGAGAGTTTTTTCACATGATGCGAATATATTATAAAAATACTAGCTAAAAAGAGATGGAAAACTATTAATAGTTGAAGGACATTACATGTAAAAGATATCAGTGGAGGAATATAATTTATATACTTATTATCATTTAGTTTTCGTATGACGCAAATTTAAAAAATGCAACGCATGAAGATGAAGAACTCGTTAATAAATTTTAGCAAGCGCTTCCTACTGATATGGCACGCATTTATGTATGTGGCATATGGAAGCACGAATAGAAATAATTCTTGCACGTACAGGCATGTGTTGCCTATGTATGCATACGCATATGCGTGACTCTCGAAATTCTTCGAAGTGTCTCGTGTGTTTTATGCCGGTGCTGTTACGAGTTACGAGGATGCTGGTACGCACTCCCTGGTCAAGTACCTCGCCGTGCCATCCCTTTTTTTCTCTCGACAAGTTTAACGCGCACGTTCATCTTTACCAATGCAATATTCGCTTCGATAAATCCCGTTTCTTTTGATTCTGTATATTTCGTACAGCGTAATAAAAATTTAGTAAATATAAATTTACATATTCATTCATCGTCTGTTTCTGATGATCATCTATTTCATAGATAGACACAAAGTAACTCTGATTGTTTCGTTGCAAGAATTAATGCATTTAATTTTACAATCAAAAGCAATTTAAAATGACGTGGCACGAAATTATCGCACGTGACGCAGCCTCTTTGTTTGTTCATTAATCTTAACAGCAAACAAAAATGATTTTATATGTCTGTATCTTTAACGACGCAAAATTTTTATCTTTTAAAATTGCCGAAGATATTTATCAAATTTCAGGCGTACGTTATTCAAAATGTGCTAATGTTCGATAATGTGCCACGCTGTATAAATAATTGTATACAATTTATGCCGATGTGTGCAATTTACGTAATTGCGCGACGAGTAAACACACAAGAGAGATATTCGCGAGATATTACTCCTTTTTTTGTTAACCAGATAAAAGTATCGTCGCGAATCAATAAGCAGGCGTCATCCTTGAACTAATTTTACATTTGCAAATAAAATCACGAGGAGCACGACTGACAAGAGGCTGAGAGAAACTTTTTGTTTTTTCTGGCAAACGTAGAGCGTTCTCGATAAGAAACATCTGTGACAATACGTTGAGCGTAATCACATTATGATCGCGCTCGATCGCCTTCGAGTATCAATTAATCACAACGAGGTCAGCAGCCAATAAGCCGGGACAATAAGTTTGTCTGTCGTGTATATTTCTTGCACTCAGCCGCCTACTCGTGATTAATAAATCGGTGTTCGACACAAGTAGGTGAACAGGCAAAAAATCCAACCGCACGACGTTTTGCGTCACGTCTGTCTATCTCGTTTGTTAGACCCGCATATTTTTATCTCCTATATTTCGTCATTTGCGATAAGTGCATCCGATGTATGACGAAATAAATGTCTTCAATGTGTGATAGAGATTGAATTAAAGAGATGAATTTTTAATGAGATTTCTTTGCCTTTCTTTCATTTCATCAATGATGCTTGACGATTTTATTTATGTATCTCTTTTTACCGTTCATCAGATATTAGGAACCGAAAATGATACATCTTTCTCTGTCGCTCTTTCTTCATTTTAAACAGATGCATATTTGATAGATATATTGGATATTTAATTTTTCTACATTACTTTCTTTTATTTACATTATTTTCTATTTTCTCTGCTTTTTCCATCTTTTATTGTGTTTTAATCCCTCTCGTTATCTCTTTTTTTCTTCATTCGAAATTATATTGTATACCCTTTTCTGTTCATGCGATATGATCCGCGAAAGGGAGAGTCCGGGGATTAAGTCCGGATACACGACCGTGATTTGATATGCGAACAATCGGACGCACCTGCTTATGTGTGCGTGTGCGAATGCGTTACGAGCTTGACATTATCAAACGGGAAACGTGCAGGATGGCACGCACGACCTACGTCGCTTAGATCGTGCCCGCGTATGATTCGCAAAATCAGTTCTCACTCCAATTTTATTAACGCGATACGCGAAGCAATGCCCGCGTATCTCTATTGCATACATCCGGTCTCTCCGTTTTGTCTCAAACCATTATTCCCAAGATACTGACTTTGTGACTCTGAGTAAATCTGTCTCTAAGTGCTTGAGGTACAAAGTTCTTTTTTGTATATGTCGATTAATTTCAATCACAAAAGATAATCTCAATTAATAAGTGAATATCAAGACAATTTTTAATGTAAAATTATTACAGTTGAACAAGAATCTAAAATATGTGTGGTGGAAATTTTATTAGAGATGTAATATCGTCCAAAATAATCAAATCATATTTCAAATTATACATATTATAGGAAAATAGAATAGATTATATAAATTATTAATAAACGAATGGATGAGATGTGTAGAATGAACGAATGATACATTATAGTATTACATTCTGTGACGTGTTTCTAATGAAAACACCGGTTGTGCGACATAACGGAGTGACCAGACAGAACGAACAAGATCGTTTAGTTACGCCTCATTTGTGAATTTTTTAAAGATGCGAGAGAGATGCTCGGTGCTTGGCGAATTGCCAGATCCAAGTCCGACGTGGCAGGTAGATTACAGATGTTCGATATACCTCATGAACTCATTATACACCTCATCGCTTCGTACGAAATTTCTATAAAAAGAAATCCTTGAACTTTTACGTATTTTACGACATTTTTTATTTTAGAATTAAAACTAGAAAGATATACGATGAAAAAAAGTGCGGGAAATTCTCTCTTGTAATGAATGATGTCATTCTCTCGCTGAGAAAAAATTAATTGCAAATTAATCAAAGGAGTTGTTATAAAAAAGGCATCTCTAGATTCTTGGGATATTTTATAAATATATAAATTTTTGTTAAAATGAGAATTGCAAGAAGCATTTTTTTCCGATGGGTACTCTTTTTAACAGCGACTTATATATATATGTATATATATATATATAGGTACAATATCTATATAATGCTGCATCTTTTCGTATGAGATATGTAAAATTTATGATACATTATGTGAAATGTATATATACTGACGCGATCTGATTGAGATGTACAAAGCCGTTAATGCAATTATTTTGCAAGAGCAATTATCGGAGACAATTGACTAATTCCGATTAATATTCGAGACGTTCAAATGCTCGATCGACGAATCACTTAATAAGGAATGCTCTCGAAAGATAATGTATCCTACGCCTTTGCGTTATAAACGGGTTTCTGCGGTTGCCCGAAACGCCCAGGACGTGTAATTATGTTTTTTTTATTGGCATTTGTATCACACGTGAACATATATGCTGTGTCAGCTCGAGAATGCACGCGTATGCGATTCCAGCGCGAGAAAGCCGCGATTACTTATCTTCCATTAAACCTTGTTGTGCAAACAAAAATTACCGGCGCCTTTCATGTAAAAAAAAGTGCACGCATTATATATATATATATATATATTTATTATTCTTTACTAATTTTGGTTTTATATATATATAAAATTATTATAAAATATAAATGTTGGAGAAGAAAGAAGGCAATAAAAAAGTATGTAAATCTGTCTATAAACGGTTTCTCTGGAAAAATAGAAGTTTGCGTGCACGTCCTTTGCAAGAATGCAGTCAATCATCCATCTCTCTTTTTCTGAGGAAACGTGGCGATTATGCGACGAACACAGTCATTGGCCTGTGTACTCTCGCACGAGACACACCGTAGACACGCCGTAATCATTATCCAATTATCGCCCGGCTAATTATGGGCACGCGATGTTAATGCCCGAGAAAATTACACACGGAAACGGTTTATTAGATTGTACGATGTCTCTCGATTACACAGAAGTGCAATCACTAGATAAAAAATAGGTTTACGGAATTATACGGATTTGTTGGAATATTGCGTTATCAATATGATAATCTTTACGTCGAATTAAACGGATTCGCGCAGATACGTGGAATTTTTCCATTCTTTTTCTTTTTTTTTCTTCTAGAGATTTGTGGTATCAGAATTCAAATTGTTCGCAAAATATCGAAAGAAGAGAAAAGACGTCATCGGGAAAATAATTCTAGACATCAGTGAAAACTTTCGAAGAGGATAGTGCGTCATTGGAATTTTTGGCATGAATAGAATAAAGATAGTATGCGTCATTTATAAAATAAACTTCTCTAACTGCGGATTTTTAATTCTTTTAAAAGAAAAAAATCTCTCTATTTATATTTCTATGTATATAAAAAGATTGAGAAAGGAGACAATGATAATAAATCTCTTACGGCGTGCCATTACAAGATTAACGAGATTGATTTTTCAAAAGTACAATGTATCTCGTTTCAACAGACACAAAGGACATTTACTGTTCAAATTACATAATATAACAATAAGAAGAGAATAACGAGAAATCCTTTCGAATCGCCATTTCCCCGATGACGTCTTGGCGCGTTAATGGATCGTTGCTTTCAGAACGATTCTCGGAAATAGAGATTAAAGACAAGTGCCGACTAGATATGCATGTTGTCTCATAAATGGAGAGCAATGTATGAGTCATATGTACGCGGAAAGTTTATCTTGAAAGATTTTTTAGATAGGTCATGTACCATCAATGTCGATTTACGTAATATGCGTTGATTATTGTTTTCCTCCTCTCCAATTTTGATAATTATTCACGGAATTTAACATAAAACATTAGAAGCATCCACAATCTGCGATATATACGCATCGATAATTTTTTGGCGACCTAATGATGATCTCTTGGTCCTGATAAAACTAAAAAATACATCTACGACTTCGTTTATCTTCTGAATTAAAAAGCGGGAAGGCTCTTATCATAGATAAGCTCTTCTACATCACAATATCAAAACTCAATTAAATAATCCTTATCGTGTGTCATACTAAATTTTACGCATTAGAATCTGAATGTATTCGTGATTATTGAAGTATTAGTATAGTAGTGATATATAAATAACTGTCAAGTTTGAAGAAGTTTTGATAACAGAGCATGAAAAATGATCCTATCTTTAAGTCTTTGAAAATGAAGATGTATTATTTATTTATTGATTATCGCGTTCTAAAATAGATTCTAAGAATTTTAGAAACTGATCTCTCCGCAAACAATCTTGAAAAGACTAACATTGCTAATCGGAGTCACGAATTATGCTCCAACTTTCATCTCGACGAACACCTTTCCCCGAGATACGCGCGAGACATTATTTTTTACAAATATGTTGATACATCATTGCATCGTTTTTCGCAATAAATTTCGAGTTAATGTTACGTTGCTTCTCTGATATATTATGTATCGATTTTCCACAAAATGTTAAGAACGTTATCTAAGTCGATTATATTCGAAAAGATGGATGAAGGATATACATAGATATATACGTTGTATGTATTGACTTGATATAACATATCTGATGAACGATCGTAGAGGCAGCTAAACCGTATATGCGAAATGATTTCAACTCTCAAGACAATTACATATATATGATAAGAACATTGCATATATACAGAGATCTTTTCTTGCGTATATATCGCATGTAAAAACTTTACGACAGCAGTCGCTTCGTCTACTCTGAGTACTTTCCAAAAATAAATCTTGCATATATGAAGATCTCTCTTTTATCCCCGAGACATAGTATCCTACAACTTCAAAGATTCCTTTGCAAGTATGATAAATATAAAAGACTTTTGCCCCAATTAACAAGTGAGAGATTTGTAGTCGCATCTACAAATTGCAACGAGATCCTCGGAGAGGGGACTCGAAGAGTTCAACTCCTCCTCTGAAGAGAACAGCTTCTGATGGAAGAAACTCCCGTTTCATCGATGAGACGAGAGTTTCTCAGATAAGTGCGACGAAATCTGCGTGTCGGTTTGCATACAGAAATTTTCCGTTCAAATTTTACATCAAGAGGTAGCAGAAAAAAGGGGGGAAGGTCCTTTTTATACTTACTTGTACGTTTTGGAACGACGCACGACCTCGTAGTACTTGGTCAGCTTCTTCAACAGCTGACTGTAGTGAGCCGTGCTGGCGGTCAGGACATCGTCGGCCAGATCGGGCAGGTAGAGCGCGTTCTTCTCCTGTTCCCGCCGACGCAGGAGCTTCTGCTTCTCCAGCTTCTCCTCGTGGAGTCTCATATACTTCTCCTTGGCGCGGGATAGCTTTCCGCTTGTCTGCTTCGAATCGGACAACGTGGACATCGTCTCGCCCGTCTCGCTACCAACCAACGTACGTACGCACATGACGCTCCGCTGCCGATGTGCCGTGGTATCAGCGAGTCTCGGGGCGAATCTCTCAGAGTGATCTCCTGTTCGAAGACGACGATCTTCGAACGGGACACTTGGACCACGCTTGAAGAACGATCGCGATCTTCCTATCCTGGCACGCAGTTGCCACTCTCGTGTCTCTCTATGTAGGTGCTCGCTCTGCAATAGCGCAGGTGGGTTTGACGAACTCGCTCTGCTCGATAGCGCGATAGCCTGTCGTCGCGAGGGTGGCCGATCACGTCCGATCGTTTGACATGCGTGACGTGCGTGGGAGAGAAATTCTACACTCGCTTCTCCCTCTCTCTTTCTCCTTTTCTCTCTCTCTCTCTTTGACGAACTCGCTCTGCTCGATAGCGCGATAGCCTGTCGTCGCGAGGGTGGCCGATCACGTCCGATCGTTTGACATGCGTGACGTGCGTGGGAGAGAAATTCTACACTCGCTTCTCCCTCCCTCTCTCTCTGTCTCTTTCTCTCTCTCTTTCTGCCCGATTATCGCCGTAGAGTGCGCTGCGCCTCGACACCGCTCCACTTTTATGTCATTCCCTCTCTTCTCTCCGGTTCCCCATCTGATGCAAGGTGGCGAACGGATGCGAAAGGGTTGAGGCGCCGCCGACGAGTCTCTTCTTCCATAGAAGAAGAAGTGAACAAGCGTCGATGTTCTTTTTTCAGATGAAATTTTAATTCTCTTGAGAATTAAATTTTGAAGAGAATGCTATAGAAATAATAGCGATATTTTCATTTTGATACATACGTAATATGGTGTTCTCATCTTTTTCTTTATATCGCGTATGGTGGTTTTGTATTTATATAGAAACCTGTACAGAATAGTAAAATGTTGGTACATTGCAGGATTGATATTTTGTATAACATTTTAAGACATCGAAATTATTATAAAAAAAAGAGCCATAAAGATATGAGAAAGAAAAATTAATTGCGAGCACACACACACACACACACATACACACACACATGTAGGAGTATTAAATAATGCTTGTTTTCATTTGATATAATAGAAATATTCGAGATAAGACATTTTTAATTGCTAATAAAAATATTTAATATAGTTACGAAAAATCTATTCTTTTTATTAAATAATGTACTGTTTAATAAAATGTACTGTTTCTTCTGCATTCGTTGCATTATTATATAAGAAATAATAATACATTTTCAATCTTGCAATGAGATACGATTTATAATGAATTTGTTACAAGGTTACGAGAGCTATTTGTTTATGTAATTGACGACTACTTGTGGTGTTTCTAATGTATTCTCGCATTCCTCTTTGATAAAGTGTAGTATTCTAAGAACAAGAGAAAACAATGTAAAATTTTCATGTTCACGACAAGTTTGCATTAGAAAATCTCGAAATATTTCCTTAACGATAATGGATATTTTTTTTTTTGCGGTAATTAATGCACGCGCGTGTTATGTCTAGATGTAAATGTAAATTATAACACGCGCGAGATTCCTCCAATCGTCTTTGTCATTATATAAGAATTACGCGTAGAACTAACGGATGATTCACGGGAATAGGAAACGGTCTTATGACGAAAATCTCGACTAAAATGTGTAAATAATATTGATAATGATAATATACAGTTTGTGTAAATTGCGCGTCAAGCTGTTGACACTGTCAACAATTGACATATATGAATCAAATTCGAGGGAGCGCGCTTGCAAATACCTCTTGCGAACGTGTATATTCTCATTTTAAAACTTCGTCAAAAATCGGAAAGCGGTCCACGCAATTCGTCCTGAGAATAAACTCCAAATCGAACAATGATTCATGTATATCGATATCTAATAATATCGCGAGCAGACATCAAAGTTAAGATACGCAGTTCCGTATTAATGTCCCAATTTGGCGCTATACAAATTTAATCGCCTAATTCTAATCTTAAATTTTTAAATACGATATTTTTAATACAATAATCCTTTTTTTCGCACACACACAAAATTATAATATAAGGAAAAAAATGAAATTTTTACTTCAAACGCCTTTAAGAGATCGTTACAATCAATCTACGATTCCACTTTCGGTGGATTATAGAGCCGTCGTGGAGGCCTACAGGTTTTCGGGATGAGCTAGTGCAAGCTTCCGGTATCAATCACGATAATCATTGTTAAATTGCTGCCGCTGCGGAAGCGCAAATCCGATGCAGCGCATTATGCAACGCACGTACGCGTCTGGCGTACGTGCCCCGAGATAGGGCGTCTCGCTTTTCACACACAGTCCCTGATACAAGAAACGGGCTTTCTATGAAATTCGGTGGACGGTCTCGCTCCCCCAATATTTAACACATTTAGCCGATTCTCGAAGACCGAATCATGTTGGCTTTTTTTTTTCATTATCGATCTCTCCTCGAGAAACACCGAGACGTGAAATCCAATAGAGATGAGGCCGCGATAGTAGGTCTTCGGTCCGCGAGACTATAGATTTTTTATATACGCTAGCAAAGTGTATGTATATCTTACAATGATTTATATTTATTTTTAATATAGTAATATATAAGAGATTTTTATCAGGCGCGAAAATTGGAGACAATATTATAATATTATCGCAAAAATATTGCGATTGATAATTAAAATAGTTGTCTGCCGCTAACTCGATCAAACAATGTTTATGAATCATCTTCTTCAAAACAAACATTCTCGATAAGCGGCAGCATTTTTTCTAGAAAAAAGAAAAAACAGATAGCGATAAGCACTACCTTTTGATGACGTAGATACGCAGTAACTTGCACTTGAATATGAATCGCAATCAAATGTGTACGCCGCATAGTTGTATAGCTGTCACTCGAGCGTGTGTTAACATTTTGCACGCGCGCGATTAATAATTTCTATACAATCACGCGGATCGCATAAAGCGCGTCTTGCCTGATATAATGGTACCTTCTGTTTTCGAGAAAGAGACACGAAAATCAATTTGAAAAATATAGTTATACATATAATTATATTTTATATGTATTTAATATAATTGCAATAATTTTGTACAACCGGATTCAAATGCGGACTCTCGCTTTGTTAAAAAAAAACTGTCATTAATAGATAAAGTACTATTAGTGTACTGTCAATCCTTTCCTTTACTTTCATAGTATTTGCGTCGCAAAGTCAATGCACTGCCAAGTATTGTCAGTCGCGGAGACTATCGACCGCAACCGCAAACCTTTTAGCAAGATGCGAATTATTCCTGCAATTACTATCTATTTATAGTCGCGCATACGCGTTACTCTAACGCAACAAACTACCATTCATCGATCTGCTTGGTGCTCTCTTCCGGAGCTCCTTTATATTGTGTATTGTACAATCTCTGAATTTTTTGCGCAATCACAATGATTAGATATTATTATTATTTTTGTGTGACACACTGAAGGAAAATACGACAGATAACACCTGTGCACAGTCTTGTTAATAAATTTATTTTGGGTGTCGCGTATAAAGTGGGTCACCCAAATAAACCGTTACAAACATGCATCAATTATGGATTGCACGGGACACGAATGCGTTTTAACACTTAGCGTTGAGAAAGCGATTTTTATCTCGAGATGATATTTTTTTCAAGTTTTTCCATAGCTAATTTCATCTTGCGCGAGATTGTATGATCAAATTGGATCGTTTATCGCGATAATTAGCATAGATCAATCCAATAAAACAGGAGATATAAGCATGTGATGGTAAAATGGTTATTGCCGGCAAATTTATTTTAAAATTTATACATGGCGTGCTACATTAACTCACATTTATTAGAAACTACGTTCAAATCGAGGATATAATATAATGAAAAAATAATGTATAGAAATAAACTATGGATAGAATATGATCACGAACGCGCTTAGCCCACGACGATCTATATGAGATACAAAAAAAGAATTAAGTCAATGACTCTTAGCTTTGATCCATCGCGTTTGTCTCATTCACATTATTGCCGGTACAGTCCTTTTGTATTATTTCGAAAAGCGGCTGCAATTCCGGCGTAGCTTTAATCTGCCCAACAAACTCACTTAACGATGGATTTTTATCTGCAAATCGATATATTATGTCGCATAAACTTTGCACTATATATGTAAATTTATTAAAATCACTTTTACAGTCAAAACTCCATTTTATTTAAATAAATTTAATCTCTTATCTCATTTCAAGATAATTCCACTTGCCTGCATCGGGGATAGTCAGCAATGCTGCAACAGCTCGCAGAGCGGAACGTTTCAGTTCGTCTTGCTTCTCGTATTCCTGCTTCACCGAGTTCGCTTTTACTTTCATCGTGCAAGTACTTTTGAGCGGGTCGACTAATCGCTCCAACCCTGCGAAAGAAAAAATTTAAGAATTAAAATTAAGTAAATATTCTCACATATCAAGAGTTTTAGTATAAAGAAATGGAAGGCGATTGCATGTGATCACTTACTTTGCAAGACTGCGGTCGGGCACAATTGTGCGAGTCGCGCGGTCATAAGGTAGGTCAACATTTTGATATCGTAGTGGTCTCGAAGGCCGTTTTCCACGTGATTTAAGAATTCGAAAACATCCAACCTATCGAGACATGAATCCAACAGAGTATACATACATTCAAACGCTGCCTTACGGAGATCCAATCCATCGTCCACCGTATGTTTAAACGGACCCATTTCGACTTCTCTGATAAGCTCTTTCTGTATATATAAAAGAAAGCTTATATTGTATTATAAAATTCCAGAGACAGTATAATTTAGATCTTAGTTCTCTCGTTAGTTTACATCCTATTAACCTTGATTTTGGTTTCCGTGTAAAGATGCGGCAGCACCGCGTCTAAGAGATCCCTTATCAACATAGGTTTATTGTGAGCAGCGGAATTAAATGCGACTAACGCTACTCTCCGAACGTTAAGATCGGGATCCTCTAAAGCGACTAAGAAATTACCCATACATTGCTTCAACATGACATCAATCGGTTGTGGCTGTAACATACATACATATATTATATATATACATTTCTAATATATATATACGGTTATTGTAGAACAACCGTCGCCAAAACGTTAAATACCTGATCGGAAATGGTGAATTTGACTGCGGTAACCGTCGTTGTTCTCATGAGAGCCGACGGCGATTTGAGCGATTCTTGTAATCTTGGTAACAGAGTAGCAGGATCAATTAGAGTCAATTTACCAAGACATTCGGCCACGACGTTACGAGTACCTTCTTCAGTGCATTCGCAGTGCCTGTACAAGAGCATCCAGATTGAAGGCACGAAATTTTGCAAATGCGATACGCCGGATGGACTGGCCGACTGACTCGTGATGATCTACAAAAAAAAGAAAAAGAAAATAGAAACGATTTTATATACATTTATATGAATTTAATGTAAAAAAAAAAAAAAAAAAAATGTAAGGATCTTTACCTCTTTTAGCGAATGTAAAAGCAGATATTGGCGTTTAGGCTGCGCCTCGATCTCTTGAAGTATGAAAGGCAGATATTCAGGAAGATTTCCAATCGCGATATTTCCCAGCGTGTAACTGGCCGCGGATTTCACCTCTTCCGAATGAGAAGAGAATGAATTTATAATAGTGTGTTTCAGCGAATTAATTCCACTCAAATCTCTGTGTAGAAATATTATCTTATGAAGACAAATGTTTTTAATATATAAGATCTTTGTATTAAGAAGGAACAAACTATAATTCTCTTACACATGTCTTCCTATCTCTCCAATGACTAACAAGGCGAATATGTGTTGGGCGACGTTCTGAATGTCTGACGGATTCTGAACGTCTTTTAACAACTGTTGCACGATACACTGCGCTTCTTCGTGCCATGTGATTGTCAGCGCGGCCGCACACTTGGCCAATGAGTGATAAGCCTGTTTGTGAAGTACGGATTGCGTAACTGGAACTATTAACATCGCGAGAAGGTCTCTGTACCCGAGACCCGGTAGATTCGCTTGTACTAAAGCTTGGAAAAACTCGAGCATTGAATTTAATGCGACACCTATTCGACAGAAAATTGATGCATTGAGTACACTAAAATTTTTAATCCAATGTTGTGTAACAGGGTAATCCTACCTTGAAGAAGTGGCGATTTTACAAGGATGAGGATCTCTGGCAAGATATGGTCAGAAACTTTCGTCAAAGCAGCTGGATGTAACTTTGCAATGGTAGTGAGAAGATTCAATGTTAGCTGTGCAATGTGTAGGTCTGACTCATTTAATAATGCAGGTAACTCCGTAGTAACCTGCGAAAAGAATTAGAGATAATCATCCTATGTTTCATTAAATATTAATGTATATAACAAAACTAATATTCCATTACCTTATCAAGTAAATCTGGATGCAGAGCCGAGCTATAATTGCATACCAATGTATCTAGAAGAGGAAGAGAAGAAAGTTTTAAAGCTCGTTGATTCTTTCTTAAAAAAGATCCAAGAATGGGTATTGCTTCTTCCTACAAAAAAACAGTAACATCTTGTACAAAAGAGTTTTGCTATTTCTTATAGTATGTATACACTTATATTTTATAAATTTACCATGATTGGTTTAAGATCGACCCTCAGAGGAGATGCGGCTATACAAGTTAGAGCCTTAACGGTGGTAAGTCTAGTTATCTCGTTGCGCAACCTGTCCAAGAAGATAGGTAGACATACGTGCAATTTGTCTGATAGAGTATCTCCGAAGTGTGCAAGAATTTGTCCCATGCAAGCGATGGCTCTTTCCTTCACTTCCTGATCAATATCCGCTGTTTTGAGCCTCATCAAAGTGCAGTGATATATTTCGTTAGATAACGGGGTGAAGCCGCGGCAGAAGGGTTTATCTGAGGTAAGCATTAAAATCTTCGTTATCGATCACTTTTATATCTGCGTGATCGCAAATAAAAATTAAATAGTATAAAATTGCTCACCGTGAGGTCTGATAACTTGTACGAGTTGCTGCAATACCAGCAACGCTTCGGCAGCGATCTTATAGAAGGAATCTCCCACAGCTAATATGATTGGAGGCGCCAAAACTGGCATGTGAACATGGAACGCTTCGGGTTGATGCGTCACCAATAATGTATGCACGAAAGCTAAAGTATCGATCTTTATATTCGAGGAAGAGTTCTTGTCACCCAGGGAATATTGTATGCCGGGAATCAGTGCTGGGATATGATTAGTTAAAGCGCCAGGTAAAACAAGCACCAGTTCTTTTAGCAAGGAAAAGCAATCTTGTCTCGTTTTAATGCTCTTTTCCTTCATTTGACGATGAACTGCCTTCACTATTAACGGTACTTGCTGTTGCAACAATGCAATAGGTCCATCATCATCTTCCATTGCATCTGGATCGAGCGGCACACCGGTAGCCGGCCTCGTTTGCCTCAACAAAGCGATGTACGCGTGAAATATATCTGATTTGACATTTTCTTCTCTTTCTGCAATTATATAATAGAAATTTCATGCATTATAATCATACATATTAGATAAATAAAATTTTGATTGACTAGACATATATATCTCCATATACCTTTATATATAAATAAATTTCGGTGCTTGATACTTGCCTTTAAACCTAGCAATTAATGCAGGTGAAACTACTTTATAAAGATCTGACAGCAATTCTCTTCTACTAGATACAACCGCTTCTAAACATTTTGCAGCTGCTCTACGAACTTTCCAACTCATATCATCGTCATCGGAATATTCATCTTCCGCGTCTTCCTCTCCGTCTTCTTCTATTTCCATTGCAGTACCTTCTCCATCAGAAAGATCATTGATATCGTCGTCGTAATTGTAGTTTGGATCGTATGTAATATATATTAGGCAGATCTCTATGATCTAAAAGAGACAAATGGTTTCATTTAATAATGCATAAAATACATAAATACAATGTGGTAATATAAGAATAATCTAAATCATGTACTTTATTTATATGTGGCGTAATTTCTTTTGGACACCTATAAACAAAAGATTCGAATGCTTGCAAACAATATTCCCTCAATTCATCGTCATCCTCATTACTATATTGAACAATCAATGGCATAACGCGTTCTATCTGCTCGCCGAATCTGTGTCCCGCTTGCCGACTGCAAATAAATTTAGATAATAAATTGCATGATAATTTATTCTCTCTATCGATTATTCATACACAATTTGATTATCTAACCAAATAGAAGCAATGCATTGGATATAGGTACGTATGACGTTCTTTGCCGTTTGAATTTGAAGACCGTCAAGAAGATAATCCAGCAATTTGTTGTATAAATAATTGTTGCTGGACGTCAACAGATGACTCAATGCTACTATAGTGCGTTTACGAACCGCTTGCCGCGGCGAAGAGAGTTGCGGCAATAATGCGGTCAGAATTGTAGAATGAAACGTGACTAGTAAAGGACCGAAGCGAGAGAGTAAGTCGGCGACAATGTCGAGTGCTTCGAGCTGTACGGATACATCCTCTTGCTGAAAAATGATATTTAGATAAAAATATTGGTCAGAGATACATATTAAACTCGAAATCAGACAAAGATAACTTACTTTTTCAATAGCGCTGCTTAATTTGCCTGTGATACGTCTACAAACATTTGCGACTAATGCACTACAACCCAAAGGAAGCTCGGAAATGACAGTCTTCAAGCCGATGCTAGAGATATCGCGCAACTGCTCTTTGTCCGATACCATATTGGTACATAGAGCGTCCACAATAGTTTCCACTTGGTAATCCTTTACTTTATTAACTAATGGACCCAAACTGAAATTGCACACATCCTTATAATCATACAATTGAATAAAGAATTTTCAAATAGGAACAAGTATTTATAACACTTCATACACATGTCTACTTTCTGGTTATTTCACTTGTGTTAATAATTTTCAACTTTACATAATATATTAGTATACAAGAAATTCATATATAAGAGAAGGATACAATATACATTAATATATATGAAATATACATAAATGTATTAAAAAATATAACATCTAGACAAAGAAATCTACCATTTGACAGCAAGATTCTGTACTTCTCCATTTTTGTCCTCCAATAACTTAAGAAGCATTTTTACAACTTTGCGTTCAGAATCATCATCCAGTTTGATACTGTCCTTCTGCAGTTCGCTCATCAAGTCATTAGTTGCCATAAACCTAAAATCTTTATCACTGGATGTCATCTACAAGGAAAGCATAGCTGTTCAAGCACTATATTATGATAGTAAACATAAAAATACTCATATATAACAAAGATATACTATGTTATCAATTGCAAAATATCAAAGATAATTGATAATTTATAATATATTAACTAGATT